ATTGCTCTCGCCGAGATCTCGCGATTGGTGGTATATTTTTTGGTCCTAGGTCAACATTTGACCTACTTTTGACCGGTCAAAGGTCAAATTTTCGGAAAAATAGACTTTTTTTCAACTTTCCGCGGCGATTGCGGCAAAACGGTGGGCGATATCGACTTGAAACCTTCACTATCGTGTTCCTTGATCAATTCTCTATCGTTTGGTATGTATTTCGTTTCCCTAGCTCTAAAAATGGCGCGTTGGGAGCGCCGGAAGTCGGCAAGGTCACAGTCGGCGGCAGAAATTCGAAAAATCAATATTTAAATTTTTGAAATCTGATTGTATTTTTGGATTTGGGAGGTCCATTTGCTCCCTACAGAAGCTAATATTGCTGCATATTCCCATTGAGGTGACAAGAATTAGCAAAATAGTGGTTCGGGCGCTTTTCAAAAATAGTACCGGACGCTGTTCCTCTTGTGACGTCATAGCTCCGTGACCTGACCTGACCCGGTCAAGTTTCTTATACCATATGATAGCCAATACTTGCCCCAACATGCATGGGAAGTTTCATAACGATCCATCAACCGATGTCCGTACCACCGGCAGGAAACCTCGGGCGTTGGCACTCAGTTTGTGAAAATCCGGCCGGAGGCTGTTCCCTTTGTGACGTCATAACTCCGTGACCTGACATGACCCGGTCAAATTTTTTTTTATCAAAAGATGCGCAAGTCTTGCCCCATAAGGTACCCAAAATTTGGCGGCGCGCAGCGCCGCCGTTTTTACACTATTTCCGAAAAACCTCAGGGGGGGGGGGGGTTGCACCAACCCCCCCCCCTACATGGGCGAGGGTTAAGTTACAATACACAATACTAGTACTGTTCACGCCTGTTCATCGTGTTTTTGTTTATGTTTAACCCTCGCCCGTATTGGTGTTTTTCCAGCCGCGAACGTATAAGGGGGGGGGGGGGTCCGTTGGACCCCCCCCCCTTGCCGTTTGGCCCCTGATCAAGCTAGAGCTTCGCGGAAAAAACGAGCGTGTTGCCCGTGACGAGAGGAAGCCGATGATACCTAATTTTAAGGTCCTAGGTCATTGATTGACCTTGCAGGTCAGGTCAATGACCCAAAAGTCGGGAAAATCGGGACCTGTTAGAACGTCGTAAAGTGTGGCTGCTATTGGGTTTTTCGGGGCGCTGATCACGAATATCATGTTAGTTTTGATCACAAATGATGTCTTTATGCATTTAGTCCAGGTCGGGTCAGGTCAGGTCAGGTCAACCAGTAGGGGTCCTGCCGGGTATTCCTAGTAGGTGTCAACCGCCTCTGACAGCTTCGTAACATGTTACGGAGGCACCAAAACTACTTCGTAAATGTTCATATGGTTGCTAAATTCGAATTCAGCTCCAAAAACTGGCCTAGAAACATATAAAACTCGAAAAAGTGAACCGAGGTCACCAAAGGTCAATGACCAGACCTGACCTTCAGGTGACCTTGACATCCCCCTAATGCATGGGGGCAACATCATATCACATGTTTGAACGCTTGAAACCACGAAAAGACTGCAAACGCGCGGCTAATGCGAGCCGACATACGCCGAATCGCGATTCCGGCCAAACATGGTCTCGAAAAGTAGGTCACAGGTCAAAGGTCATTGGGGTCAGGGTCATGAAATTTTCAGGGTAGGTGTAAAATTGATGAACGCGAGGGTACTGCAAGTTTCGTCGCGATCGGCCGCTTTTTACGCGAGTTATTTGCGAAAAACCATGGGGGGGTCCGTTCGACCCCCCCCCCTATACGGGCGAGGGTTAAAAAAGCTGTGTGAAAAAAATTTCTTACGCTTATGCTCATGGTTTATTCCTGATGCTATGCTTTCTTCTAGTACACCATTAAATACATCGCCGGCACAGGGGGGTTGATGCAACCCCTCCTAAGGTTGTTCGCGAATAACTCGCGTAAAAAGCGGCCGATCGCGACGAAACTTTTAGTACCCTCCCATTGATCAATTTTACACCTACCCTGAAAATTCAATGACCCTGACCCAAATGACCTTTGACCTGTGACCTACCTTCCGAGACCTTGTTTGGCCGGAATCGCGAATCGGCGTATGTCGGCTCGCATTAGCCAAGTGTTTGCATGCTTTTCGTGGTTTCAAACGTTCAAACATGTGATTTGATGCTGCCCCCATGCATTAGGGTGGATGTCAAGGTCACCTGAAGGTCAGGTCAGGTCATTGACCTTTGGTGACCTCGGTTCACTTTTTCGAGTTTTATATGTTTCTAGGCTAGTTTTTGGAGCTTATTTCGAATTTAAAACATTTACGAAGTAGTTTTGGTGCCTTCGTAACATGTTACTAAGCTGTCAGAGGCGGTTGACACGTATTACGAATACCCGTCACGACCCCTACCGGTTGACCTGACCTGACCTGACCCGACCTGGTCTAAATGCTTAAAACCATCATCTCTGATCAAAACTAACACGATATTCGCGATCAGCGCCCCGAAAACCCCATAGCAGCTACACTTTACGACTTTCTAACAGGTCCCGATTTTCCCGATTTTCGGGTCATTGACCTGACCTGGAAGGTCACCCGATGACCTAGGACCTTAAAATTGGATATCATCGGCTTCCTCTCGATACGGGCAACACGCTCGTTTTTTCCGCGAAGCTCTAGCTCGATCAGGGGCCAAACGCGAGGGGGCGTCGTACCCCCCCCCCCCCCATTGTGCCGTCGCAGGACGCAAAATGGCCTGTGCTGGCGAGGGTTAGGAATACCTAGAGTTTTTGTTTTGTTTTGTTCTCTGCAGGAGGTACACATTTGTTATGATTAGTAAGAGGTGATGAAATAATCAAATTACTAGTTCTTTATCCCCCGCCCCCTAAGGGGAGGGAGAGGGTGTCGAATGGATCCCCCATTGGTTTTCACCATTAACACTCGCCTCGTTGGGGGGGCCATTTTGCCCCCCCCCCTGTGGTTTTTCCTGAATAGCAAGAAAACGGCGGCGCACAGAGCCGCCAAACTTTCAGTACCTTCCCGGGCATCAATTTGACACCTTCACACCGAATTTCAAGTCTTAGGTCACCTCAGGTCAGGAGTTATTGAGGTCAAACTGAGGTCATGTTCGAGCAAAAACGAGCAAAAAACATGCAATCTTGAAACGCTCACCAAATTTACATTTACCAAGTAATTTCAAAGTTCTTTATATGGTCTAGTAGACAAAAAAAAAACGGCGCTACAAAACTGCTATCTCCGATTTTTAAAGTTTTGGGTTTTTGACCCCACCAACTCAAGAAATTGATTTTTTTTTAGAAAAACTAGAAAAAAATCCAAAACAAAATCCGAATTTCGAAAAAAAACGGAATATATATGATAGTCCCTGTGCTCTTCTATATACATACCAAATTTCAGATCGATATCTCGTTTTTGGCCAAGTTATAGCGAAAAAACTGTTCAAAAATGATGACGTCAAATTTTTGAACTCAATTTTAGCGATTCTAGACCACGTACGGCAAAACCAAGACCACCATTGAACTCCCCGTGACGAGCTGCATCGAATCGATACCCATTTTATGCAAAAATACCAACTTTGAAATTTGGCCTAATTTGCCCTGACCTTGACCTGACCTTGATCTGACCTTGACCAAAACGTGACCTAAGCTGGCCCAAAAGTCTGCCTGACCCACATAATCGCATTTGTCATGTAAAATGGACCATAAAACATGTATCACACGACACTTCAAATTGCGACCCCCCCCCCCCCCCCAGTGACCTGACCTCTGTGACCTGACCTGGTATCAGTGACCTCAAATAGCAAAATATGTGTTTGAAGAACATTTCCCCATCGATTATTTTCAATGAAATGCATTTTACTCGATTGTACAACGCATTTCTTGAAATGCCTGTAAACGGTGAAAATTCGACCTTTCACCTGACCTGTGACGTCATCGGTTTGACCTAGGTCAATAAAATTGGGTCACAAGGTAGTTCCCTGATAGGGCTATCTAACACCGTTTGCCGCTTGTCGCTAGGTTGCGTGGTTCTCGAGATCTTAGGGGGGGCTAAATTGCCCCCCCCCCCAACGGGGCGCGGGTTAACTCGCGTAAAAATTGGCTGATCGCGACGACGCTTTCAGCACTGTCGAGCTAACTAATTTTACACGTATCCTGAAAACTGCATGACCCTTACCCAAATGACCTTTAACCTGTGACCTACTTTCCGAGACCATGTTTGGCCGGAATCGCGATTACATAGGCTAGGCACATGTAGGGCACATGTCGGCTCGCACCCGCCACGCGTGTGCAGTCTTTTCGTGGTTTCAAGCGTTCAAACATGTGATATGATGTTGCTTCATTGCATTAGGGTGTGTGAAAAGGTCACCTGAAGGTCAGGTCAGGTCATTGACTTCTTGTGACCTCGACTCACTTTTTCGAGTTTTGCATGTGTTTAGGCTAGTTTTTTTAGCTGAGTTTGAATTTAGCGAATTCGAATTTTAGAGCAAAAAAAAAACATCTGCCCCCAAATGCCCCCTTTCTGGCCACGGGTGTTTACTGCTCATATCTTTTCCTCAGGCCTTATGCATCCAAAGAAGTCCACACCCTTTCACTCATCGTTGATTTTCCACCACTCAGAACCAAACCCAACTCATCTAGTTTTCTCCAATCTTCAGTCATGTTACATCCCAGTCTGTCAACGCTATATCCCTAAATATCACCCTGAACCCCCACCCCCGATGTTCATATAAGCAACAATAATGCTCATCTCTATGAAGGCTAGTGTAGTGTACCTACTTTTACAAATACGTGTAATATGGCCCACCACTAAGTGAACGGACCATCCCTATCGGCCGCCATGTTTGGAAAATATACATTCTCTGGCGCAGCGCGGCGTATGTTGGACAGCGAGGGTTGCGAACAAACTATTTCCAGAGGTATAGCTTATATGTATCGCTGTATTTATAAATTCAGACACAAATCGCAATCACTACACATCCGACTTACTCTCAACGTTACGTTTCAAAACATCCAGCTTATCTCCATTGTTGTATTTACAAACTCAGAGTGAGACACACACCGAACGCGACATGCCTGGGTTGGTATTAAACACAGCAACCACAGCTATCCACAACCATAGGCACCTTATCCGTAATTACACACACATTATTGGTACATTATCACCCAATGAAGGCTTATTGGGTGATGATAGATGCCAGATTGCTACATTTCAGGTAGTTTGTCTATATGAAAATCAGCAAACAAGCATTCAGAACATCATCGCAGTTTTTTAAGAATCGCACATGGAAGAGTCTGATTTTAAGAGTCATAGTGCGGTTTTGAGAATCGAGTGACGACATCATCTCGTTTTAGTTTCCATGTCCATTAACTTCGTCGGAATCAAACCACTAAGATGACGACTTTGAGATTCGTGGTTCCGATATTTTCTTTAGAGTCCAATTTTCAACACATCCAATTATGACGCACATCTTCCTCTCATTCTCGCCCATCATTTCTTCTTCTTTTTGCTCCTCTGGCTTCTCTTTCACTATTTTCATTCCTCTTTCACTTCTTCTTCCTTTACTCTTCTTCCGTTTCTTCTTCTATTTCTGCGACAACTTCTACACAATAATTTTCCATACATGTTCCCTTACACTGCTGTTTATCGGTACAAATCGCACCCGGCTCCAGGGCCCCCTTCACACACTTGTTAGTGGTCTCATCACAGTGGTTACTGCGACATTGCTGGTCTCCCGACGCAGCTCCGATGGAAGAGCAGTCCTCACCAATGTCCATCAGCTTCAGTGCGCAGAAACCTACCACACAGCGTCCTGGGCCACAATCCGAGTCATCGGTGCAGAACTGGATCCCTGACTGGAACTCGGGCTGGATCTCCGATGGAGCCCCTTTCTGGATCCCTGCCTTGATCCCTTCCTGGATCCCCGGTTCGACCTCCGACTGGATTCCCGATTGAATTCCTTCCTGGATCCCAGGTTCAACCTCTGACTGGATTCCGGGTTGAATTCCTTCCTGGATCCCTGCCTCCATCTGAGAGTGGATTTGCGCTTGCAGCAAGGTCTCCGGAGAACCTGAGGAACTCTCTGACAAAACACTGAGAATGTCCGCTCCGCTTGGGGAGTTCCTGGATCTTCCTCCTGGAGTTCCTGGAACGCTGCCCTGACCACCACGTCCTCCCGGGGGACCACGTCCTCCTTGAGAACCACGTCCTCCCGGGGGACCACGTCCTCCTTGAGAACCACGTCCTCCCGGGGGACCACGTCCTCCTTGAGAACCACGTCCTCCCGGGGGACCACGTCCTCCTTGAGAACCACGTCCTCCCGGGGGACCACGTCCTCCTTGAGAACCACGTCCTCCCGGGGGACCACGTCCTCCTTGAGAACCACGTCCTCCCGGGGGACCACGTCCTCCTTGAGAACCACGTCCTCCCGGGGGACCACGTCCTCCTTGAGAACCACGTCCTCCCGGGGGACCACGTCCTCCCGGGGGACCACGTCCTCCCGGGGGACCACGTCCTCCTTGAGAACCACGTCCTCCCGGGGGACCACGTCCTCCTTGAGAACCACGTCCTCCCTGAGGATCACGTCCAGAACCACCAGGAGGACGGTCAGAACCACCAGGAGGACGGTCAGAACCACCAGGAGGACGGTCAGAACCACCAGGAGGACGGCCAGAACCATCTCCAAAGTCGTTGTCTGAGCCATTGACGTCATCATCGAAACCACCCGGTGCGCGACATTGGCCAGCGACGCAGATTTGAGAGGCGCATTCAGTTCGGATGTTGCAAGAAGCGCCAAGCTCCAGTCGGCAAATGTTGGCAAGGCAGAGGTTGCTGAGACATTGCTGGTGATCAGAACACTCGGCGCCGGCAACCACCCTTCTCATGCACTCGTTACCGGAGAGCGTATGAGCGCAGAGTTGAGAGGGACCGCAGCCGAGGGGCTCGAGGGGTGTCGGGCAGAGGTCTTCGTAGCAGCGTCCCGCGCGACAGGAGTCGGAGAGACAGGAGCGGTCCGAGCTGCAGGAGGCGCCGCGGGCTAGCAGCGGGACGCAGAGGTTTCCGTGCTGCCCCTGCTGGCAGATGTGGCCGTCGGGACAGCCGTCTCTGGAGAGGAGGGTCCGGCAGGTGTCTCGCCTGCAGCGGTGTCCAGTGCAGCGGTACGACTGGCATTGTGCGTCGCTGGAGCAAGCCTCGCCGTCGGCGCGCCGGTTGATGCAGATGTTGCCGCGCTGGCTGGACGAGCAGAACTGGCCGACCGGACAATCCTGGTCCGAGTCGAGCTGCGGGCACGCGTCCAGCTTACAGACGTGTCCGCGGCACACGTGGTGCAGACATTGGACGCCACTCCAACAGGGCGCATCCACGTCCAAAAGGGGAGTACAGCGACCCTCCTGACCGCAGTAGCTTCCGCTTGGGCAGCCTCCAGGCGACATCTTCGGTCTGCATGAGTCATCTCTAGGCCGACAGACACGTCCAGACCTCGTCTGGACGCACTCCTGGCCGGCCGGGCAGCCCGAGTTGAAGCCTTCTCCAAGACACTCGTCGTGCACGCAGCGGCTTTCCCGGCACTTGCCCGAGAGACATTCGAACTCGCTGCTGCACCGGGATCCGGTCGGCTTCAGTGGCACGCACCGGTAGTCTGCGGTGCACACTTGGTCGTACGGACAGCCACCCTGAACGTACGGCGTCTGACACACTCGTGGCTGAACCACAGGCGGTGATGGGTACGTTGGCTGCGATGGGTATTTTGGCTGCGTTGGATATCTTGCCGGAGCTGGGTATCTTGGAGGTGGTGGGTATTTTGGCTGGACTGGCTTCACTGGGTATGTTGGCTGCGGCTGTGGGTATGTTGGCTGTGGTTGTGGATATCTCGGCGGCTGTGGTTGTGGATATGGATATGACTGCGGCTGATAGACTGACTGTTGTGGAACTGTCGATCCGATGAACGCTCGATCCTCACGGTTGTTCTCTGATGATGCCACGCTGCTTTCCACATCTGCTCCGTGGGATGTGGAGACCAAGACAGAAGCCAGGAGGAGACACGCGGTGACAGTTGCCTTTAGTCTCATCGTGAGGCCGAGAAGGGCCAAGCTGGATGAGCTTGGAGCTTCTTTAGCTTGTAGTTCTCTAGATGAGTAGCCTTGTGCCAGTCACCACTGACTTGAAACGCTCTGATAATTTATCCAGTCTCTGCAATGTCTTGAGAGGCAGTCTTCTTCAATGTCTTGAGAGGCAGTCTGCTGACGTTCCAAAATAAGCCCAGAGTACGCGAAGTCTTCTCCTCCTCCAGAAGACGCCGATACTTCCTTCAGACAGTCCCAAAGGACCTTCTCCTTTTGCTGGAGGATTCCACTAACCTCCAGCAAATACCGCTTACTGTCTCTCTCGCTCCGGAAGCTCCAGAAGCTCCAGGGCGTCCCCTCCCTCTGGAGGGCGACGATACACTGAAGCGACAGTAAATGTTCACCCGGTCACCTCTGTAGCCCAAACCCCCTCCGGCACTGGTTGCAACAGGTCCTGCTCCCGGCATTCTGCGTCGATCTTGCGACCACATCAATACAAGAACGAAAACACGTTTTTGCTCGATGGTGCATTGCGGAGTGCAATCAACCTCAGCGGAGATATGATCTGTGTTATTTCTGAAAAATGACAAGATTGAGCACTTCCTGTGCCGTGAAGACATTTTCAGGCGAAGTTGGAAAGGGTGTGTCTCTATCAGATTCGAACTGGTTTCTGTTTGAATCTAGTTTGGTGTTTCGTAAGCTTCGCTAGACGATACAATCGTAGGTGGTTTGGACAATGAAGGTAGTGCAAACCGGACCTCGCACAAGTGAACTCAGGGGCTAGTGTCAAGGTCTTCGTTTTGAAGGCTACGACAGCCTTGGATCTAGTTAATTAAAGGAATGTGGATACGTGTTATCGGCTTGATTCACACGTTGTGCGGAATGATTTAGAGTTGGAATAAAACAGAGCCTGTTTTCTAGATGATCGGAGCATAAATTTCACGTCAGCACATTCTTAAGTGCAGCATACAAATGGAGCCAGGCTAGGTCGGCTTTAATTAAATGATGCCGAAAATTAGGCACGCGGTAGGACCGGGATGTGGTGTAGAGCCACTCAGCCTAATCTGGTGAGAATATGAAAATGCTAGGAACCGCGAATAAATAAACATTAATGTTTTACTTTATTTCATTCATACATAAAAGATCGTTGAAAGCATTGCCGAACCGTCAAATTACTTGAAGCTGACACCGTGAATAGTTAAATGCGTCAATTATTATGCTCCAAAATTGACAAATAGACATAGACATAGACATCGACATATAATTTGGCATTCCAAACAAACCATAGGTAAAATTAAAAACATATAAATTAGATTGGTGCAAAAGAAGAAAGTAAAAGCACTTAGGTATCTGAGCAACGGTAACTCAACGTGAACAATAAAAACAGAACAAACAAAAACAGACAAAAGCAATGAAACCACCGCCGTGTCGCGCCACGCCCGCCACTCAGCAGTTACCCTGACTGCCCACAGTTGGCGAAACATTGAGCCACATGAGCCGCCGTCAATATTAGACGGTTTTATTGTCCTCTTTTTGAAATAAGCCCTTACTTACAATATGTTTCGCTCTTTACACTTGTACCATTTTTTGTCGTCCTTCCCCTTGCATACAGGGTGTCTCAAAAGTTCGTTTACACATTTCCCATGTCAATAAAGCATATAAGAACCTGCCAAAAATCTAAGGCTTTGGTGTCCGTGTGTACACTAGACAAATATGCATGCTTTGACAACTGATTCGGAAGGTTGGAAACCAAACCCTTTGCTGTATCTCCAAAAATATTTGCCCATACCGATTTTCGTCACTCCGTCAGCTGCCGGAGGCTGATAAAAGGTTACCAGTTTTCAAGCTCTTGTAGGGGAATCCCCTGCAGTTTCTGCGTCGGATTTAGGTTTGACGAGCTCCCCGGCAACATCCGCTTCTCCCTGAAAGCCGACAGCTTGCATCGACACCATCCGTGAGTATTTTGTAGGTCTTCTCTGGCGCTAACTCCTTCATGAATGACTGGCGCCGACTTCCCAAGCACCATTTTCCTTTTCAAAACAACCCCATTCCTGAACAAATGGGAAGTGCCAGGGGCAAATTTTTCGCAGCATATCGTAGCAGAATGTGTCGGCCATCTGTTTCTTAGACACATTTTGCAAATTTTGCAAATCCCGAACGCTCGTCATTCCCAATGCCAAGACCTTCGCTGGGTTCCGTAGTGTTTTCCTCAGGAGAGGTTCTGCTTTGTAAACTGCCAAAACCTGTCCATCGTGCGGTTTTGTCCGGATTTTGTGTGTAAAAGAAAGCTATTTGCTCCAGATCTGCCTCTTGAAACTTCGTTAGATAAAACTTTACATTAATTGACACTTTTGGAGGGTCATTTGTCCTCGGCATTGACGATTTTCGCATTATTTTCCCTCAAAATTTAGCGTTATAGATATTATAAACAATTTTAAATGATATTTTGTCTTTATTTTATGATGACCTGTAATTTTTGAAACTGGGTAACCTCTGTCTGTGAGCTTCTAGTCAGTTTTCAATAGTTAGGACTGCATTTTCAGCTGCTTTCCGGAGCACGAGTCTGCTGCGGTACAAGGGTCGTTCAAAGCGCTGTTAGTCTCGCATGGTTTTGTCCTTCAAAAATTTGCCACCGTTTTTATTAGATGACCATCATGTTGTACTCATCCTCGCCGACACTTTCCCATGTGTCATTTCCGACCTAACCATTCCCATTACTCGTAAAGCAGAGAGTTTCTCAGCCGACCCGAGTATGCGACCTCCATTTTCATGCCTGATCCATGGTCAGAGGTGAACCCTTTTTGTGAGCTCATGAAGGGTCGAATGCGCTTGAAAACAATGAAGCTGCTTGAGGAAGGTTGTTACCAATGCCCATGCAAAATTTCGACTGTTAATTTCTTGTTGATTCAGAATTATTGACAAAAAAGCATGGCTGGTACAGGGACCCGCAGTTGCTTCTGTACACACTAGTATTTCAGCGTATTCTTTGCCTGTGACACCGTTGGAGGCGAATTGGGAAATTATTGTGTGCTTATTAAAACCACCATCTGAAGGGCTTTAAAATGATGTGCTGCTCTCCTAATTCAGTGAACTTTTAATGGCTATATCAGCAAAACATTGTTTTCAGCGCTTTTCCTGCCCCATTCCTTCTGAAACCTGGAACCGCTTATTCCATTTACTCCTGCCATCTGACGATGGTCGTGCTGACTACTAGTTCCGGCGCTAGTTACTGCTCCAGTTTTGCACCCGGCACAAACTCAGGCGGCACCGGGCCGTGGCTCGACCAGGGGAGGGTCGGACCGAGCCGACTGCCTGGGGCGCGGTTAGATCGGACGCCCTGCTGGGGAAGGGGACGGGAGTGAGGGGGAGGGGAGGAGGTGGTCACGTGGTCCGTCCAAGCTCGCAGACGGCCTGTCCTGCGCCCAGCCATGTTCCGTGATCCAAAATGGCACGAGAGCTGTGGAATGCCTGGAGGAGACGCTTCGAAAGCGAACTTCAGCAGCACTAATTTACCATATTCTGTGGAGATAAATGAATATTATCTTAATGCAGAAAAAATGTATGCCCAAGCTGTATAGGCTGTATCTTTTTAAAAGTTGTAAATAGGATTATTCTTAGGGACAATTAT